CGAGGTGGGTGTTGGTCTCTTCTCCCAAGTAACTAGCGATAGGACAAGAGGAAACGGCCTCAAGTTGCCAGGGGAGTGGTTAAGTCCCCATCCCTGGAGGTATTTAAAAGACGTGTAGATGTGGTGCTTAGGGACATGGTTTAGTGGTGGACTTGGCAGTGCTAGGTTAATGGCTGGACTTGATGATCTTAACGGTCTTTTCCAACCTAAACGATTCCATGATTCCATGATTCTATTTGTTCATTCTTATTTAACTTCAGTCCTGGCACTTGCTGTATAACATAGATCCTTATATTCACATACAAAGTTAAAAAGGAACAAAAATCAAACCAGTAAGCCTGTTTGACACATGAAAAGCATCTAGAACTGGGTTCACTTTTCATCAAAATACATGATGATATTTGCTTCCGGGGCACACTGCTTTCTAAAGGAGATATAAAAATTGGCTGTGAGAAAGCTGCTCACCCCTTTCCTTCAATGGGTTGAAGACGACATTATTTTGTTCCAGCAGAGTGAATCCCACTGATGTACAATGTAGAGGACAGAAACCTAAAAACCAACAGAGAAATATTCAGAAGGAGACAACAGCATAGAACATACTTTCTGAGACAACATGATTAAAGAAAATATTTTGGTTTATTTTGTGGTTCCCTCCCCAAGTTTAAAATAAACTGACAGGATTTTTTTGGCATGTTTTGCAAAATTTTTTTTTTTTCATTTTTAATAATCTCTAATCACACCCACTATCCCATGATATTATCTGAACTTTCCCTCATCTTATTGCATTCACTCTCCATATTTATCTTTGTCTTTGCTGACACCTCTAACAGAAGGCTACATTTAGACTGCTAACTCACTTGCTGTTCAACCTGTATATTTTACTCTCTGGCTCAGTGTCTGTCTGCTTAGACTAGACAAGGCACATCCCAAAAATAAAACTACAAAATGCAAATAGGAATAACTCATCAGTGTTGTGAAAATTAAGCATGAAACCAAGAAAGATGAAAGACTTTTTTTTAATTTACATCTCCTTCATAACCATGCTTCGATTTCACCATGGAACGTATTTGAACGATGGCTATGACCAAGTAATCCACTACATGATAAAAACTAACAGACTACAGGGAGGTGTGTGAGCCATTGTTAGGATCACGTGTTCGGCGAAGACAGGTTCTGCTACAGGATTATTCAGCGATTTTAAGAAGCTGTCAAAACGTTACCGCTTAAATTTACTTTAATTATATTTAATTTAATAGCACCTGTTTGATATATTAAAGCTACTTTTAAAAAGTAACGATTGTGAAAGCAAAGTAGCAAAGATTGTGAAAATGTATTTAGAAAACACAACTGCTGAAAAGCATTAAAAAAAGCCTGCAAAAACTACATCAGGGGAAGTTCCCGACACTAACGTTGCACAAAGGCCATCTGAAATGATATGATGGCTAAAACACACAGCTGAGATCTTGAATCAGATTATCTCCATTTCTCACACAGACAAAGTTTCTGTGTTCCCAATTTTGCCAACTGCATAAGAACTGGAATGACAGTAACTCCAACATTTTTAAAAGTGAAATGAAGTTGGTATTTGGATTTGAGAACCAAAATTTATCCATGCATAGCGTAGAAGTAATGTTTTTCAGACAAGTTCACAGAAAAACAAAATGCTAAGGGCCACCCAATATAGATGCCATCTCTGGTTCACAAAACCTAGCTCTAAAAGAGCAGGGAAGATACTCTGAGGAGTTATAAGGCGGTATAAGCTTCAGTCATTGGTTAGAGATGAAATACTGAGCTAGAAGGAGTTTCGGTCCAAACTGATACACCTAGTCTTGAAGCTTCAAGGGGCAGATGACACATTAAAAGTTCTTACCGCTTTCTCTTACACTGTCAAAGACCTGTGGCCCCAAAGAATGGACTTCCCTCATTTTTGTAACTTCTTAATTCTGTTCTGAGAAGACAGCGTACCCTCTTATTCCCTTCTTTGCACACTATTTATCTTCTATAGTTTTGGTACTCATTTTCACGCACCTCAACTTACTGGGCTATTTTCCAATAGAGGACTTCTCACTATTCATAGCATCTTCTAAATGTAGGTCAGTGCCAGATAAATTGGGATTATCTATTCCTTGTCTCTGCTCAGACATAAAGGACTACTTCGCCATTGCAATTCCGAAAAAACTGCTCCCTTCATTCAGAAACAACTGCAGCAAAGAACAGATTGTGCCACAGCTGCCAGATCTGGTCACTCAAAAATATTTCATGTATGAAGAAGAAAGTAGCCCTTGCCTGCAAAGCCTTCCACTGAAACTCTAGAAATAGGCAAGTTTCTAGACAGTGTACGAGATATCGAGGGCAGAAAGAAAGAGGTACTGAAGAAATGCAGGACCGGGTGAAAGATGCTGCAGAGGAAAAGGTTTGGCTGAGAAAGAGCCAGAGGACATTGCAGTCATATTGCCTTCTTCCAAGAGTCACTTGACAGCAGTTAAGACTAGAGTCTACCCTAAAACATATCAGACAAGAAAACAAGAGAGATCTGAGCTTGCATGTTATGTCCTCTCGCATATCCCAGTGGGGGCAAGAACAGGGAACAGATACACCTGTTAAAGGATGGAGACGATACCAAGGCACCGTGGAGCCTAAACTTGGAAATGCTATTGCCAATTCATTTTTCCTTTTATTCCTCTTGCAGACAAGGCAAAGAGGAATAGTCACGTTATCATAATAAAGAAGATACTTAACTGTGAAACCAAAACCAAGGGCAACTTGCTTTGTCACTTAAAAAGCGTATCACGATTGAAGTTTTTACTACAAAGTAAAATATGACCTTGTTCAGTCAAGCGCAGAACCACCCTCTGTTCAGTCATTCTCTCATTTTGCACGTCAGCTAGTAAGAAACAAAGACCTGTGCATACATTCACATATAAAAATATTAGCAGACATTAAAATCAAGATACATTTATATTTTTATAGATTCAAACAATAATAATGAAGCAATATGTAGAGTATATATGACAACATGCCATCAGGGATTCATTCTACCTTTGCTGCAGTAGTTACCTATCCCTAACCTGCCTACAAAGAGACATTCAGTAAAATTAAGAAAAACAAATCAACATGAAGTTGATGCATACAAGTTCATTAAAACTGTGCTCAGTGAGAACGTACTCCTCATTCAGCAGCAAGGTGGCTTCCATTTCCTCTATGTTATGTACTTACAAAGTATAGTCATTATTTAGAATATTATACTTTTAGAAAGATGATGTTCCTGTTCAGGAATATAATACCAGCCTCAGGGAGTTGCACAACGCAGATACAGCTAAACAGTTATTACACAACAGCTATGCTGTCAGTTTCCCTGAGAGACAAGCCCTAAAAAGCCAAAAAAACCATTTACTTTGTGTCACTTTTTTCCCTTTATTGTTTGGTGGTGCAATAGAGTTATTTATATATTAGTCTTGATGAATAAGAGATTACATTAAAAAACTGAATGCATATTATACTTTAAGAAACTGAAAACTAAAGGTAATTTAAAATCCACCACTCAGGTTAAATTTCTGCAGAAATACAGACTACGCTACAAGCTATCAGACCTTTCTTTGCCTGTAGGATTTTGAACATACATACTACGTAACACTGACTTTATTCAGCAAGACCTCTCCAACATTATATATACCGCTTTGTTGTCCCATTAATCTTTCATAGTATCCTCTTTTCATATCATCCCATTTCAGAACTTAACAAGCCATACTAAGTATTTACATTACAGACTATCTTCCAAGCATCACTACACAATGTCACACAGCATGACAAACAACAAACCATCTCATGAAAAGATTTGTGTCCCTTTAGCAATACACTCTTTGTGTAAACTCTGCTCTCAATATTTTAAAGGAATTCTGGAAATTCTCCTATTTGCAGGTACCAAATATGAATAAAGTATTATAAAAAATGTGCCACTTTACAAGCTAAAATTGCATATGCAGTAACTGATAAAATGAATATTAAGGATGCGAAGATAATATAAATTTCTCAAGACACAACAACAAAAGCAGAATTAAGGGCACCTGGGTCTTTTGAAGAACTTCAGCTCCTTAATTCTGCATACATCCTTTGTGTTCACGCCAGCATACTTCTTGGGAAGCATGCATAATCATGCTTCACATTCATGGTTCATGTAATCGCCAATCTACCATAGCGCTTCTTAACAACAAGGAAGAGAAAGATGAGAAATCCTATCCAATCCAGTCATAAAATAATGTCACCTCAGTAAGCTTAGGTATCCTGCCTCCAGGTAGCTCGTGGCATTGCAGAAGGAAATCCTCAGGTTGCTCTCCTACCTTCTGCAAAATGAAAGCCTCACTCTTCTATTAAAGGATTCTCAAATTCAAGAAACTTCCTGCAGCATCTCAGTTTCTCCTACCCATTTCACACTGTAATTTGACCCTGCTTTATTGGCTCCATAAAGTAATAGTAAGGAATTAAGGGGACTAAACAGAAATTTTGGTAAAAGGAAAACAAAACTTGGCGGAAAGGAAACCTCCCTTCCTTAATGGCTCCGAGACTCCCAAGGGATTAGGGTATGAGGGAGCAAAAATATTTCCCATCACTCCCTCATTCATCCCCAGTATTCACAAAGAAAATGAAGATTCCTTCAGGGTTTTTCTTCTGTATTCTTAACACTGCAAACTGAAGGACATCATAACATTTTAGACCCCAAAATCAAGAAGATAGTGTAGTATCTGCCTTGCTGCTATTGCGGTAAGAGGACTGCATTAGAAAGACTACCAAAAACCCCTTACATACTAGAGGACACGTATCAGCAAATCCACAGCTGGAACTGATTTTAGTACAACTTCCCTACTTAATGATATTTAATTACTTTGTCAAACACAATTTCATTTAAAAAAAAAACAAAAAAAAAAAAACCCCCAAAAAACAGAACTCCACCCTCCACATTTCCCCAGCACTCCCCACATGGATACACAACAGGTTTGCGTACGTGCTCAACACAAGTCCATTCCTTTGCCATTGAAGCCTTTGGAAAATCCACGCAAGCGTGTAGTGAATCTCTTACCTCTGGAGACACTCGTTTTATCATATCCTTCCAGGCAAATTAAACCAAAGCAACGGGAAATCCTATTTTAATCACGATTTGTATCGGCACCCAATAAACTATGACTAAAATTATTCTTGGTTTGTGTTTATACTTTACAGTTTCATAAAGAAAAGACAGAATAACCACCAGTGTCACTATGCCTTTATTGCTACTGAATACTTTACAATGTTAGCAAGCAGTTTATGTAAGCATATGTAAGTTTTTCAACATTTTTATTATAAAACCATTTCTATGAAAGGCTGAATTCCTAGTGCTACTGAAGTATACTTAAAGAATGAAGAAGAGTTTAACTAATAACTGCATTTAAAATGGACTTAAGATGTTGAATGCATAAGAAAATCCCCTCTACACATTTTTGGCATTTAAACACTTCATCAAATTAAGATGTTCCATTGTCAGTTATTTCATTTTTATGTCCTTTATGATTTCAGAAATAATGAGCCTGTCAATGAACCAAGCGTTAACTTGGACTAGCTGATTAAACGAAAGTGACACAAAATCCTGATCCTGCAACTCTCTGTCAAACCCGGTTCCAATCCTCACTAAGTTTTCCAGAATCTTCCCTCTTTTGACTCTAACATTTGGTTGAACATGAACAACTTTGTTTTGCTGCTAAGTGTAGGCCCTAAAATGAACTGTCATTTTCTTTACAAAATGGTAATTAAATAAAAATTCTTCCTTTCCTGCTCCACTTCGTCCACAACTCTTTAGTAACGGTGAACCAGAAGCAATCAGGTCAACTAGTTTTTGCAAGGAAGATGTGCTGTGTTCCAGCCTCTTCCATTCCTGCTGCCAATGCTCTTCACGCTCCCCTACTTTCCTACCCTATTTTTCTTTCTGCTCTTCAGCCTTGTACTACCCTTCCACACCAATGTACAGCTTGTCCTCTTTCTCACCTCTTGCTGTCTCTTGTTCCCCCTACTTCTGACCATTTGTAATTTTGCTAGTACCACCCTCCTCAGGTTCCTGGGCCCACTGCATTTCCACCAAGCTTCAACCTCTCCTCCCCACCTCTCCCCAAACACCAGCCTTCACCCCTCCATGAGTACGACTGCTGCCTAAGCATTCTGGGGTTGGGGGAGAAGCAGAGATAAAGACAGACTATTTAGGGTTAAACTTACCCATCACCTACTGCTGTGGGACGCATCATGCTTAACTACTTGGTCCAGATGATGACTGCACAGCCAGGTGACATGCAAGGACCAACACACAGGAAGATACTCGTGTTACATGGAATATTCAGATAGTTTAGTTAATAAATATTTGCTGAGTAACATGCATGAACCAGTTTTTCAAGAGCTTACGATCTGTTGAAGTTTCTCGAGGAACAGACATATGCTCCGTGTGAATGTTTATGCTCTCTTCCCCTCTCTCCTCTGCAATGCTAAATTCCAGAACTGAAGTGTTGATATAAAATAAGCCAAACAAGCATTTCCCCCCCCCCCGCTTTAAGTTAACATATTTACTTTCTCTTAAAGTAATTTTCAAAATGCTGAGTCATTTTAGCTTAAAGTTTCCGGAATAACCCTGCTCAAACACACACTCATCATGGCAAATTTCAGTATGACTAAGAAATAAGCTACTGAAAACAACATCTCAAAATAAAAAAAAAATAACCAGGTAACCTTACTCCTGGCATTGCTACGATCATGGCCTAGAACACACATAAATTGATCATAGACTGACCTGGAAGTTCAAGTTCTTTAGTTGTAAAACATACAACATAGCGCACACATTTTCGTTCCCATATGCATGTAGAAGTGTATAATGCTCCAATTTCTGTTTCATAATCGCCTCTGTTTCCTTTGAATATAAAAGACTTGGACTTCATTTTTCAGTAATAAGTATTATAATATCCTTTTCCCTTTGTTTTGTTTGCTATGTAATTTGAAAAAAGCTAAGCAGGATGTGAAGTATAGCCACATTTCCTAGCTTCCTCTGTCCTCAAGAAAAAATACAGGCAATTCCAAAAGCTCATGTATAAAATATAAATTGGAATTTGGTGGTTTAAAAAAAAAAAATGATTCCTCTTTTAGTACACCAGCAGTAAGCTACCATATTCTACTTTTTTGCCTGAATTTACTGTCAGCTGCAGAAGACGACAGTTACAGACCCATAGGTACAGCAGGCTAAGGGACAGTACATGATTATCACAGTCAGTCAGCTCCCATTTTCAAAAATCACCTTTTGACTGTCTAAGTACTTAAATGGCCTTCCTGTTTAACAGCAAATAGCTCTTTTATATACATATGTAGGAAAAAAATGAGAACAACAGGGCCTGGAGTAGTTGCTATATTAAAAACAAACAAGCGTGTTCATATGAAGGATGATAAGCAAGCATGTGATGACAAGCAGACCTAAGTTTTATTTCCACCTCTAACACCAGCTTCCTTTTTGTGCTTCAGTAACATACACGACTGGGTATCCCCACGCTGCTGGCAGGGGAACCAAGTTACTGCCCTTTACCAACTTCATATAAGCATGCCAGTGCTCCATTAACAGCGAAGATTGGTATTTCCAGATGCTCGGCGTCGTCATTTTATTTTCTACCCCATTCCTAGTTCCATCTGATGATACCCGTGTTCTACAGTTACCACATGAAACAACCTTATTGAGCAAAGTGAAGAACCTGCTAACAAACGCAAATACTTCCGCATCCAATTATCTTGGGGAGAGCTATAATGGTCCGGGTAAAATACTTTGGTAACATCTGGCAGCAAGCGAGCAAAGGAAAGAACTCTATCAGCAGCTTTTTTCCTTGCTCTTGGAATCCTCTTGCTTAGAAGAGCAATAAGTTGTTTTACATTTTGTACAGCATTGAGCTGTGGTAAAAAAACCCCCCCCCCCCGGGGACTTATCATTTGTAAACCTACAGACTCTTTTAACAAGTGAGACGGAAGCAACCAGCTGCTGCAAGAGAGAAGTAACATTTGTGGAATTTTAAATCTCACACACACAAAAATAATTCAGTCTTTCTTACACCAAAATAACAATATTAATCTGCTTTATTGCAAGCTTTCACATGTGTGCCAGTTTTGCAGAGGTAACATTTGGCTCCCAGACCACTACATAATATTCTGAAATACAATTTGGACTACATCTCTCTTCATTCAGGACATTAACAGAGCCATTAAAACAAGCAGTTCCACTATCACAGTAGTGGTTCTGTGGATCATTCACCCTTGGCTGTCAGTACAGGGCTTAATAACAGCAAAAGAGTTATTCTTTTCCAGGAAATTGAATTGCTCCTAAACACTTCTAAACTTGCTGTGGTAGCAACCAGAATTATTACGACTTTATTGCAGCACTGCATTTACAGTACAGGGAAAGGTATGAGAAAAAAATACAGTCGGAAAGCAAAACTCTGAAAAAGAAAGTACAGCTTCTAGAAGACATATCCATTTTATAAGACTGAAGTATTTAGAATAAACACGTATATTTAGTTCATTCTAAACTCCTTTCAGTTGCACTAATGGAAGACTGCAAGGACTTAGTTTTAAAACGTTATTTTTATATTCGAAACATAATCCGAATCTTTAAAATTGTATCTAGATCAAGAAAGAGTACAGATCAGGGCTGTAAGTTACTTAATATTAGACTAACTTTTTACATGCCAAAGTGAAATTTCCAAATACAAAGTAAAACCCCAACCAACGGTAACAACAACATACACAAAACTTCAAGAATTCTGTTTTCCTATTACCACATAGGAAACGGTAACAAGGTAAATTCCAGTCCAGCAAAGCACTTGAATTACATGATAATAAGACCCACTCCAGATATGAGACAGGTATCAGTATTCAATTTATGTAGAGAAGGATACTCAGGCACAGATAAAAAAACCACATGCCCCAAAATCACCCAGGAGATCAATCAGAATGAACAGTATCAGTCTTCAAAGCCTCAGTGCAGTGCAATAGCCTCTACACTACCTATCTTTACCCTGCGAATGAAATAAATGGAGCTA